ATTATCTCTGCAATTCTATTTCAAAATTGCCGAAGTATGCATAACCCACCTACCGGCATACCATCTCCGCACCCACATCATTAAGAACTTGTAAAGGATAACTGATGACTGTTCATTTTTACATGCAATTACATGCAGAACAATGTCCTGACAAATTTCACTGCATTTGACAGACAAAGAAACCGAAAATCTTCAAATTGACATTATCGATTTGGTCAATTAACCATAATTGGCACATTCATAATTCATAATCCACCACCACCACGTAAACCACCAAGGAAAATGTATGAGTGTCGGAGCCAACGAATGCCATGTAATAGGGATGGGAGTTTACTTGTCTTAGGGGGGATAATGAATACACAACACACACGCACACACACATACATGTACTCCATTGATGTGGGTATCAACTTATGCCCCTGACTTTTGGCTGTTATGTCAATACATAATGATCGATTGATTGACATTAAGTTGTAGTTGTGGTCTCTTTTAATGGTCGCCGATATTAGAATAACATTTCAATATTTGTAGCTGTGGGTAATTTCCCCTCTCACCCTTTACACCAACAAGGGCAATTAGAAATATTAGTAATTTTTAGTAAGAAAACGAAGTGTGGACCGTTAAACTAATCTATTATATGTAAAATTGTAAAAAATGAGGGACTAATGGCTCGTCAATGCCCAGAAAAAAAATGATCTTGATATTTACGTATTTAAAACAGTAGTGAAATAACTGACGATCGAATCTTCAAATTTTGCATGAGAATCAGGCGTAATTTTGGAAATTTTGACGAAAAGAACTAAAAGGTACTAAAAATTGAATACTCTATATTGGCCAATTGGAATGAGCGAGAATGAGCTGAAATTTGGAATGAGAGTCACTTATGGAGTGCAGGATAGATATACCAAAGTTTTTTTTTTTTTTTTTTTTTTTTTTTTTTTGAAATTCAAAAGTTAAATGTTACGAAATTGTACTAGTCTTCTAAAATCGTACCATTTAGTATTATGCAGGCTTCCGAAAAACTCTTTCGAATTTCTTCAAAGAGCAAAACTTACATGAATTCGAGCGAGTGCGCTTCTGACAACAAAAAAGTGTAGAAAACTCAATTTTTCGACGTTGCTCAATATAAGTGAGCATAATTCCTCGTTTTTGAGAGGAAGAACAATTTATTCAAAATCGTGCAGATTTTGCTCTTGTCGAGCACTCGTTTAGTTTAAATTTGCCTTTTTTGCATTTCCATGTATGTGTCGAATTATATACAAGAGCACCCCTCTCTTCATACGGCCTCTTCTTCAGTACACAGCAATATCAAACTCCGTTTGATGTTACACACACGCACACTTAAATCAGAAAACAAAATATTTTTTTTTCCGCTCATTTTCACTTTTCACTATTTTTAGCGATTCCCCTCCCACTCTAATTGTTTTAAACAGGAGTGACTCGGGAGTGCTCCCATAAAAAACAAAAAAGAGTGAAGAGTAAATTCCACACTTCGAGCAATCCAACTCGCGAGCAGGATTCGCTTCCGTGTGAAAAAGAGGAAAATTGTGCTCTCTGGTATAGTAAGAACGAATAGAGCTTGAAATTATTTTATGAGACTTGAGGTTGATAGTATGGTTTTGGAAATGTGTACAAAGGGTGTGACCTGTACCAAATGGTACTAAATTTTAGTTTAGAGTGAATGGATGAGGCAGGATTTTCGAAATTTTGTATTGGAGTCCCTGTTATTGGTAGGTTTGTGATGGTGGTCCTGAAAGTGAGTACTTCAAGTGCACAAAATGTACTAAATAGTACTATATTTGGTACAATTTGGTATTGGGCGAATAGAAAGTGTTTGAAATCTGAAGCTGGGTTTTGAAGTCACTGTTCATATGTAGCCTGGATATAAGGAGGTGGTATCGACAATGTGTAATATAATTGTACGAAAAGTACAAAATGGTACTAAATTTGGAGATAGGTGAAGGGATGAAGATAAAATTCGGAAATTTATTATTTGGATTACCGATGATATCTGTGTGTGACATTCGGCGGTGATTTGGAAATTCGTCCTATATTTGCACGAATAGTAATAAATTTGGAATTGGGTGAAGGGATGGGTCTAGAATCCTTAAATTTGAACTTACGGTCCCTCTTGGTATCTGAAATTAAGATATGGAGGTGGTTTTGGAAATGTGTACTATAATTGTTCGAAAAGTACTAAATTGGGTATTGGGTGAAGGGATATAGATAAAATTCTGAAATTTAATATTTAGATTACTGAGGGTATGTGTGTTTGAGATTTGATGGTTATTTGAAAATGTGTAGTGCAGATGTGCTAAAAGTACGAAGAGGTACAAGAGTTTGGTATTGGGTAAAGGGTTGGAATCCTCAAATTTAATAGTTAAAGGTCTCTGTTGGTGTCTGAAATTGAGGTATGGAAGTGGTTTTGGAAATGTATACAATAATTGTTTGAAAGGTACTAAATAGTACTGTATTTGGTACAATTTGGTACTGGGTGAATAGATAGTTCTTGAAATCTGAAAATTAGTATTAGGGTCACTGTTCATGTGTAGTCTGAACATATGGATGTGGTTTCGGAAGTGTGTACTATAATTTTATGAAAAGTACTAAATGACACTTAATTAAGTATTGGGTGAAGGGATAGAGCTGGAATCACAAAATTTAATATATTTAGATTACTGTTGGTATCTGTGTTTGAGATTTGGCGGTGGCTTTGGAAATGTGTCCTATAGTTTACGAAAAACACTAAATGGCACTAAAGTTGGCATTGGTTGAAGTGATAAGAGTTGGCATCCTCAAATTTGATTGTGAGGCCTCAGTTAGTATCTGGAATTTTCATACAGTGTGAGATGAAAAAACTGCAACCAACTTCAGACTGCTGTCATTTCTAAACCACTCGTCCGACAGCTGTTAAAATTATTCCAGTGACAGCTCATTATATTGTTTACAAGCGTACAAAAGAATTCTGGTGATAATTTTCTAGAAAAAAAGTTATTCGTGTTCCGAATTCAAGCGTGATAGCGTGATTTCTTTATATTTGGCTGGAAAACCACAAGTGGCTATCGTTAGAGCTCTCCAGCATTTAAATGTGAATAAATCATTTGTGTCTCGTCCATCGCTCGTTACCGTGATACTGGTAGCGTAGCCCGACGGAAGTGGGCGGAAGAAAAAAGCACCAACAGCAGAAATGTTTCAAAAAGTAAAGAAGCGATTTTATCGAAACCCGCGTCGCAGTGGCCGAAAAATGGCTCGCGAGCTGAACATATCGCAATATTCCATTCGGCAAATATTAAAAAAAATGAGCTCGGGGTAAAATCATTGCAATTCCAAAAAGTGCAAGAACTTACACCGCAACAGAAAAAGGAAGAAAATACACTCAAAAGAGCTAAAGAGTTGCTTCGCTTGGGCGAAAGTGGTGAACTGCCGAATTTGGGTTTCTCCGATGAGAAAACATTCGTTGTCCAGCAGTTTGTAAACAAACAAAAATGATCGTGTTTACTTGCCAAAGAGGTCAGCTGAAAATGTGCACCTTCAGTTGGCCACAAGAACTAAAGCGCCGGCCATGCTGATGGTGTGGGCCCCCATAACAGCCGATGGTGGCTCTCCGCTCGTATTAATCTATCGTGGCATCAGAATAAATGCCGAATATTATCGTGAAAATATTCTGGAGGGTATATTAAAGCCTTGGTTACGCACACATTTTGGCCGCAGACCTTAGAAATCCCAACAGAACTCAGCACCATCGCATTCAGCACGCGCCACCTAAGAATGGTTACAAAATAAGGTTCCTCGCTTCATTTCCAGGGCACAATGGCCACCAAAATCTCCGGATACCAATTCGTTGGACTATTGTGTCTGGAGTATTTTGGAAACCAAGCGCCTCGCCTGGAATGGATCAAAATACCGCAGAGCAACATTCGGGGAGCGGATGACGGTTTCATTGGTCGTTTGAAGGCCATAATTCGTGCCACAGGTAACCAATTCGAACAAATCTAAACTTATTATAAAATTTGATAATATTTCCCACATTTGTTGCTTTCATTCAATAAAATTTAAAAATTATGACGTTTGACTTTGTTGCAGTTTTTTTTTTATCTCACCCGGTATAGATGTTGTAGACGGTTGCGACAATTCAGGATTTTTGAAATTCTTACTTTATCTTCACATTTATTTGATATTACTCCTCAGTGAAAAAATATTCGCTTGTGGGTGTACTCCAAGTTTTAGTTGAAGTTTACTCTCCAGTCTTTTGGTATATGTGCCAGGGGTCACAAGCCGAAGTAGAATCTAAAATAAGTTCTTTCCTTTAAGGAATATAACTTTTTTGTCTGAATACACAACTCATTTCGGTTATTGAAATGCCTCACAACTCAAGTTGATTAACATCATTCGATCATTTTGATTGGCGCCTACCATGCCATATTTCACGGGAAATAAATAAATTTTATTTGACTCTTTTTATTGTTCATCAAAAGAACGCAAAATAAATTGACGAATCAAGCGTGGGTGGCTAACTGACGACTTCCAAAACGACTCAAATTAAAATATTTTAATTCATAGAACTAGCTCTCCTCTTTACAAACCTATTATCTACGATTTGCCAAATAAGAAATCTCGCATTGATTAATTAAGAAAACGAGCAGTTAATACCCCAACAGTTAACTAATGTTTTTATAAACTTTTTTTTTTTTTTAAGGAATACAGTTACTTTGGCATCTTCTTTGAATTCGTTTTGCTTTGATTTTATTGCCACACATATTTCCAAATTCTTAGAACGATTATTCAAATTATTCAATGTATCGCAATATCAATTTTGAAATTAACAATCGCTAAATATATGGAACTATCGGAGATGCCGAATCTTTGTTTGTTTTGAAAACCGGTTTGGTTTTTGAAGAATTTTCATTAATAAAATCAACAGCTGAAATTTATGCAAATCAAATAATTAAGGCAAACACAGAAATCTAAATAACAAATAAATCTGCCCGAGCCATCTTTACCTTTTTTGGAGGTTCTCAAGTGTTGAGCATTGACAGAATCCATCCATTGACAATATTCTGATTAGTTGTTGTTACTTTGTTTGGTTAACGTTCGCCATTCGTTTGTAATTCGATACTGACCTAAAAACGGGAGAGATAGAGAGAAGACATAAAACGTATTAATAACAGAAAAATTTTGCTTTGAACAAATCTAGCAAATATTGACATTTGAAATTTACAACTAATTTGACAATGAAATGCCAACAATTGACAACGCCTCTCTGTCAATTTTGCGATTTTGTCCCCAACGATGTCATTGACTTGATTTATATTTTCAAAAATTTCTATAGATCTTGGGGTGGTTTTGAATACTTTTTGTTATTGAAATTGAGATAAATCTTACCAATTAGCAAATTTAGTTTACAACGAAACTCCGGTAGTTTTTTATGTAATTTTCAAATAAAAAATGTAAATTTTTGGAATAAATTATATTGAACAGTGTTTGGCTTGCTTGTTTGGGATACCATAGTATTTTGTTGTTGCAAAAATCGTCAGGCAAAATCCCATTATTGTTGTTTTTATAAAAACAACATTTGTTTATGAGTGGAGAACGATGGTAATGTTTACCAGGGGGTAAGGCAGGGAATACCTAGGTTTCGGAAAGAGCCACCAATCCTCATCAGTTCCCTTGTTTCTTGTCTGGGATATTCTCCCCAGAAGTTATTTAAAAAATAACTTCTATGACAAAAAACATTTTTTACCCAAGTGACGAGATCGTGAGCTCAATAGAAGAGGAACAAAAGAATTACATAAAACTAAAATTCTCTTGGAAAATCTTCTAAATCTTACAACCGCACTTATTCTTTTACGTAAGACGTTGTACCACCATGTAGTGAACAAAAGGGCAGAACCTTTTAGGTCCCTGTTAAATCTAGCATTCATTCAAAACGTGACATTAGAATAAAAACAAGTTAAAAAGTATCAGTCGGTTTAGTCGACAGATGCATACTCTCAGCCAATCCTCGATTATTTAAATATATTTTGACTTCTGTTTTGATAATTTAAACACATGACCCTCTTTGGAGTAGGCTCCGAGGGAATGGGCCAATATTCTTCATATCGTATCGGACCTAAATAAATATGATATAAATATTGCGACATGCCAGGTTTGGACTACATCGACTACTTCCTTTACTTTATATGAGATATACAGGGTGAGATGAGAAAACTGCAAGCAACTGCAATCAAGCTTTCATTTCCAAGCCACTCGCCCGATAGCTGTTAAAATTTTTCCACTGACAGCTCATTATATGGTTTACAAGTGTACTAAAGCCTTTTGGTGAGAACTTTCCAGAAAAAAAAGTTATTCGCTATGAAGGGGTATGTTAACAGGAGGGTATATTAACATTTTCATTCCCTTGGTAACATCCTTAAATATTCGTCGCAGACCCCATAAAGTATATATATTCATAATCAGCATAAAATTCTAAGTCGATTTAACGATGTCAGTCTGTCTGTCCGTCTTTCTGTTGAAATCACGATACAGCCCACATTATTTGACGTAGAGCGCCAAAATTTAGCAGAGCAATTTGTATTGTCTAGGATGGTTGGTATTGAAAATGATGATATATCGGTCCACGTTTTGGTATAGTCCCCATATAACGGTACCTCCCGATATTCGGTATTTTGATGATTTGTGCCACATTTTTTTCACGGATTTGTCTGAAAATTGGTATTTGTAGGTCATAATGGGTACCTGTGCGTGTGGCAAAACATTGCATGTATAGGTTCACGTTTTGGTATAGACCCCATATAAGGGTACCTTCCGATATTCGGTATTTTAATTTTTTTTTGCCACATTTTTTCACGGATTTGTTTAACAATTGGTATTTGTTGGTCATAATGGGTTCCAGCTCCGGTGGCGAAACATTGCATGTATGGGTCCATGATTTGGTATAGCCCCCATATAACGGTACCTCCCAATATTCGGTATTTTTATGGTTTTTGCCACATTTATTCTAATGTTTTCTTTACCCTAAGGTGGAGGGTATTAAAAGTTTGGCCCGGCCGAACTAATGCTTTTTTACTTGTTTTATTTTTGGCTGGAAAACCACAAGTGGCTATCGTTAGGGCACTCCAGCATTTAGATGTGAATAAATATTTTGTGTCTCGCTCGTTACCGTGCTGCTGATAGCGTAGCCCGATGTCAAGGAAGTGAACGGAAGAAAACAGCAACATCAGCATAAATGGTTCGAAAAGTAAAGAGGCGACTTGATCGGAACCCGCGTCGCAGTGCCCGGAAAATGGCTCGTGAGCTGAACATAGCGCAATATCCCATTCTTCAAATACTGAAAAGTGAGCTCGGGCCATTGGAATTCCAAAAAAGTGCAAGAACTTACAACGCAACAGCAAGAAAATAGACTCAAAAGAGCTAAAGAGTTGCTTCGCTTGGCCGAAAGTGGTGAACTGCCGAATTTGGTTTTCTTCGTCTCCGATGAGAAAACATTCGTTGTCCAGCAGTTTGTAAACAAACAAAATGATAATGTTTACTTGCCAAAGAGGTCAGCTGAAAATGTGCACCTTCGGTTGGCCACAAGAACTCAAGCGCCGGCCATGGTGATAGTGTGGGCCGCCATAACACCCGATGATCACTCACCGCACGTATTAAGCGATTGTGACATTAGAAGAAATGCCGAATATTATCGCGAAAATATTCTGGAGGGTGTATTAAAGCTTTGGGTACGCAAACATTTTGCCCGCAGACCTTGGATATTCCAACAGGACTCAGCACCATCGCACTCAGCACGCGCCACGCGCCATGGTTACAAAATGAGGTTCCTCGCTTTTTTCCAGCGCACAATGGCCACCAAAATCTACGGATACCAATCCGTTGAACTTTTGTGTCTGGAGTATTTTGGAAAGCAAGGTTGGCACTAAAAAATACCAAAATGTCGATCACCTCAAGCAAGTGCTCCGCCGGGAATGGGCCAAAATACCGCATAGCGTGTGACGATCCCATTGGCCGTTTGAGGGCCATAAGATGACCAATTCGAACAAATCTAAACTTATTCTAAAATTTGATGCTAATTTCTTTCATTCAATAAAATTAAAAAAATGTAAAAATTATGACGTTTGACTTTTTTACAGTTTTTTATCTCACCCTGTAGCTTTATCTGAACCGATTTGCATTAAATTTGATGAACTTGCCTCTGGACTGAATTCTGTCGGTAATGCCAAAATTTAGTTCATTTGGGCTGATATAAGCCATTTTGGTGCACAATAAACCTGTTATCGGATAAAGATATGTATGGGAGACATATCTAAATCGGATCCGATCTCGGTAAAATTGGACAGATGTATTTCTGGGCTGTATCTGATATCTGGTACCAAATAATATTCTTGTGTAGTACATATTATGCATGTGAGGACTGAGGGAAACAAATTGGAAAAAATATTCATATGTGGGAGCTATAGCTATATCTGAACCGATTTTCACGAAATTTGATGTACTGGTTTCTAGACTGAACTCCGTCATAAGTGCCAAAATTTAATCCATTCGGGCTTATATTAGACATTTGGTGCTCAATAATCCTGATATCGGATAAAGATATGTATGAGAGCTATATCCAATTCTAAAACGATCTCAATAAAATTTGACAGAGATATTTTTGAGCTCCATAAGTTATCTGCTACAAAATATAATTTTTGTGGAGTGCATATTACGCATGTGAGGGGCTTAAAACCACAAATTGGATGAAACATATATATAGGAGCTATAGCTATATCTGAAACGATTTTCACCAAATTTGATGCATTTATTTCTAGTCAGAATTCGGTCGGAATTGCCAAAATTCAGGTTATGTGCAATAATTCAGGTCATTTGGGCTGATATTGGCAACTTGGTGCACAATTAACCCGAAATCGGTTGAAGATATATATGGGAGCTTTATCTATATATGAACCGATACTCACAAATTTCAATAGGGTTCGTCCTTGGACCAAACAAATATTGTTTGGAAAATTTAATCTCATTTGGATAATAAATGCTACCTGGATTTTGTTCACAAAAATACATGGACAAACGGATGGACGGACGGACTGACATGCATAAATCGACTCAGAAAGTGATTCTATGAAGAACCGCAAAAGAAACTATGGGTCTACCTCGCTTCCTACTCCATTTTACAAATAAATACACAAAGACATAATACCCTTACCAGTATTTGGTGTAGGGTATAAAAATTTTGAAGACTTATGGACCCACAATGACACAATTTTGACCGCATCAGCTGAAATTTTTTGCAAAACATTTCCTCTAATTTAAGGTAGGAGCTAATAAAAAGAACAAATAATTTGTATGTGTGTTTTTTATCATTTAAACCATAAAAATCGTTTGGGATGGAATTACTATTTTTGTATTTTTCCAATGTTTAATATTTTCCTTAAATCCATGCTATAAATAGCCAACCTCTCTGACATTAAAGCGCACATAAGCTGTTAATTTAAATACGGTCCCATTTTCAAAACCTGATATGAACAATTCAACTGAAAATGTCAATCATATCCAATGGTCAGGGTAGCCCATGGCAATTTGAAAATTGTCAATTTCGCGGCATAATTGAGGGGCATTATATTTGCGGATGACCGCCCAATCTCCAACCTCTCCTCACCAAAAAAAAGAGGAGAAAACAACCAACAACATTTGTTTGGCCAATGTGGCATTTATCCGTTTGTCTGTCGGTCGGGCTGTCTGTCCTTCCATTCAACTATTTGCCGTTGTATGCATTTCTGATTATCATGATGATGATGATGATGTGGATGTGGATGATGATTATGGCAGATTTGTTTGTCTCTGTATTAAGGCCGGGAAATTTATGCACATCGAACGACAACAATGAACCAGATTATATAAACATTTTTAATTTTTTCGATTTGCATGGATTTCGGTTAATAATTCTCCAACCCCCAAAACAAAAAAAAAATATTATTATTGTTGCCATCATTGTTGTTGGCATCTCCTCCGAGGGCAATATGGCGCCTATTTGGAACATAAATATTATTTCATTTTACATTTGATACAGGCAATGCCACAATGAGCCCCAATGTCCGTCCTGCATGTTTATTATTGTTTTTGCTATTTT